CTTGACCCCGGCACCCCAGGCACGCTCACCTAGAGTGTCGCTGCCAAGGACGGAGGTTGCGTACCTGGGGGGGCGTGGCCGCTGCCGGAGGCCGGGCTCCAAGGAGTTAAGCGCAGCCGGGCCCAGCCCCGCCCCTGGCAGGCCGCGAGCCTGATCCCCGGCGGCGAAGCGGAGCAGCCGCCGCCCGCCGCCTCCGCCTGCGGGGAGCCCGCCCGCCCGCCGGCTCCCGGGAGCGCGGCTGCCACCACCGCCCGGCCCAGGCCCAGGCCCTGCGCAGAGCCGAGCGGAGCGGAGCGGCGTCCACCCCGGCCCAGCTAGCTGGCGCGGCGGGGGCGGGCCCAGGATCTTGGGCTGGTCTTCCATTCTCCCGTCGGGAGCGGGAGTCCCGGCACCCCTGATCGGGCAGGCCCGCTCCCATGGCGAGCGCGGCCTGCCCGGGCCCCGGGGACCCTGCCATGTGAGCCAGGCCCGGGCTGGGGGCCCGGCCATGGCCGGGGAACGGCCCCCACTGCGGGGCCCTGGGCCCGGTCCCGGAGAGGCGCCGGGGGAGGGGCCGCCTGGGCCGGGGGCTGCAGGCGGAGGCCCGGGCCGGGGCCGCCCCTCCTCCTATCGAGCTCTCCGCAGCGCTGTGTCCAGCCTGGCGCGTGTGGACGATTTCCACTGCGCCGAGAAGATCGGGGCCGGCTTCTTCTCTGAGGTCTATAAGGTAAGACCCGCGGAGAGCACAGAGGGGCGGGACCGAGCCTTCAACAAGAGGCTGGAACTTGGGGGCTCGCCCCCAGGGTAGAGATCCCGGACTCTGGCAACCCACCCAATCTGTCCGACACTCACCGGCCCCTACTGCCCCCAGGTTCGGCACCGACAATCAGGGCAAGTCATGGTGCTGAAGATGAACAAGCTCCCCAGTAACCGGGGCAATACACTACGGGAGGTGCAGCTGATGAACCGGCTCAGGCACCCTAACATCCTAAGGTGAGCGACTCCAGCCTCTTGCTGGGCACCTTGCTGGGCTGGAGGGAAAGGGGAAGAACCAGTGCGAAAAGTGGGAACTAAGAAGGGGCCGGGTCTCTTACAGCCTGCCCTCCTATCCTCCCCATCCTCTTCCAGGTTCATGGGGGTCTGTGTGCACCAGGGACAGCTGCACGCTCTTACAGAGGTGAGGATAGAAGAAAGGGGAACCCACCTTCACCACTACCACCATCACCAAGGGGAAAGGGATCAATGGGCCTGCTGTATCTACAGAGAATAAGGAGAGGCGTAAGACCTCCTCCCAGGGGAGGGTCCCTGAACTTCCCTGTGGATAAACCACATATAGGAAGCCTCATCTGGTCTCATTCCCTGTGTCCTCTAGAACACAGCAGTCCCATAAACTTTATGCAGTGATGAAAATGTTCTGACTGTACTGTCCAGTACAGTAGCCACCAGCTACTGTGTGTGTGTGTGGGGGGGTGCTACATCATGGGAAATGTGGCTGGTGTGAATGAGGAACTAAATGTTTAAATGTATTTAAATTTAATAACTCAAATAGTTTCACATGGCTAGCAACAACTGCATTGGACAGGGCAGCCCTAGAACATGAAAGGAGGCCCTTAGAGCACAGATGCACACTTCTGACTTTTGTGATCCTCCTGAATATCCCCTGGATGATAAGTGGGAGACCTAGAATGCAGGCTGAGACCTTGACACTCATTCTCCTTCCCCTATGCCCCAGTATATGAATGGGGGAACCCTAGAACAGCTGCTCAGCTCCCCCGAGCCCTTATCCTGGCCAGTCAGGCTCCGCCTAGCTCTGGACATTGCCCAAGGCCTGCGATACCTGCATGCTAAAGGTGTATTCCACCGAGACCTCACATCCAAGGTAGGCTGGCAAGGTGGGTGGAGGCATGACAATTAGGTTATAATGTATTAGGCCCCATGGATGTTGGAATGTGGATAATAGATATATTAGGATATTAGAGTGGCAAGATATTGGGGAATCCCGGGGTCCTAGGCTGAGAGGCTCTGAAGGACTAATAACTATCACACTGTTTAAAGTGTTGGACAATATTGCAATATTGGGGTGCACTGGAGAACTGGGAGAAAGGGTGGGGTTATGCTGGAGTGACAGAGCTTTGGGATATATATATATTGAGAGACCAGAGAGCAAAAGGTGATAAGTGTGTGAGGATGCCTATATGTGTGTATCAGAACTGTCTGGTCCGTCGGGAAGACCGAGGCTTCACGGCCGTGGTTGGTGATTTCGGGCTGGCTGAAAAGATTCCTGTGTATAGGTAAAGTAAATACCCTATTCCCCCACAAGCCTCCCAGAGATCTTCTCTTGAAGTGAAGCCCCCAGGGACATTTCCCTTGGGGTGGGGAGGGTCCTCGCTTTATATCTTTTTGCCTGGGGAAAATGCCTGAGTGGATGTTTCTGACTATCCGCCCCTGCCCCTGCAGGGAAGGGGCAAGGAAGGAGCCATTGGCTGTGGTGGGTTCCCCATATTGGATGGCTCCAGAGGTGTTGAGGGGTGAGCTGTATGATGAGAAGGTAAGACATTAACTGATCAGAGCCTCAAGGGCCTTCAGAGACTCTTGAGATGCTCTCATAAGGCCCCATCCCAACCAAAATTCTACCAGATATTCAAGGTTCCCCAAATCCCCCATGCCCTCACCATCACCCTCCCCAAATCACCCTCCTCCATGAAAACTGTCAAGACTGCCTCCCCAAATCCTGACCTAGTCCTACAAAATTCTGAAGTGAAAACTGTCAGTTGTCCCCCTGACATTATTATCTCCTACCCATAGGCTGATGTCTTTGCCTTCGGGATTGTCCTCTGTGAGCTTATCGCCCGAGTACCTGCAGATCCCGACTACCTACCCCGTACAGAGGTGAACATCTCTAGGTTTGAAGCAGAGGGAGACTCCAGACTAAGATGGCCCATAATCAAGGAGGGTTCCCTGGAGGTAGAGGTCCTCATAGAGGGGCGTGAGGAGAACCCAAGGAAGGCTGACTTAGAGGCCCTGCTTGTATCCTCAGGACTTCGGCCTAGATGTGCCTGCTTTCCGAACCCTGGTGGGGGATGACTGCCCACTGCCTTTCCTGCTCCTGGCCATCCATTGTTGCAGCGTAAGAGCCTCTGTTTCCCTCCCAGCCCCTCTTCCCCCATCTATGAGCTGATATGACTGCTCTATGGGACTCCAGTGATAGGAAGAAAACTCAGGAACCCCATAACACCACCTATGTCTACCCACTAGATGGAACCCAGCACCCGGGCCCCCTTCACTGAGATCACCCAGCACCTAGAATGGATCCTTGAACAGCTGCCTGAGCCAGCTTCCCTTACCAGGACTCCCCTGACACACAATCAAGGTAAGTAAAGCCAGGTGTGGTGGTGCACACCTGTAATTCCAGCAACTCAAGAGGCTGAGGCAGGAGGATCTCAAGTTTGAGGCAACTCAGTGAGACTCTCAGCAACTTAACAAGACCCTATTTCAAAATAAAAAGTAAAAAGGGCTGGGGATGTAGCTCAATGGTAATGGGTCCGTGGATTCAATTCCTAGTACCAAAAAAAAAGACCAATCAGGGTAAGTGAGCATGACCTTGACCCAATAAAAATCCTTTTGCCTATCAAAATTCAAGGGAGTTATTAAGGTTAAGTGGATTTAATAGTTTGAGAACTCTAGGAGTTGGTATGGGGTGGGGAAGGAGGACAACTCAAAAAAGATGGTTTTCTAATGCTAGAGCCCAAGGGAGAAGAGGTAAAAAAAAAAAAAAAAGGTGGGTAGGGGTGACATTTCCTCTTTCCAAGAGCACCCTGTGTGACTCCCTTTTCTAATGAAGCACTCAGAAGCTACAATCAAATGCTAAGAACGATAATCACGGACTTCTCTGTCTATAGGGTCCATTCCAAGAGGTGGTCCCTCTGCCACGCTTCCAAGACCAGACCCCCGGCTCTCCCGAAGCCGGTCAGACCTCTTCCTGCCCCCATCACCAGAATCACCCCCCAACTGGGGGGACAATCTGACACGAATCAACCCCTTCTCCCTACGGGAAGATCTCAAGGGTGGCAAGATCAAGCTCCTGGACACACCCAACAAGCCGGTCATGCCTCTGCCCCTTGTTCCACCATCACCACTGCCCTCTACCCAGCTGCCCTTGGTGACTACTCCAGAGGCCCTGGTCCAACCTGGGACACCTGCCAGACGCTGCCGCTCACTACCCTCATCCCCTGAACTCCCTCGACGAATGGAGACTGCACTGCCAGGTCCTGGCCCTCCCGCTGTGGGTCCCTCAGCTGAAGAAAAGATGGAGTGTGAGGGCAGCAGCCCTGAGCCAGAACCCCCAGGACCAGCTCCCCAGCTGCCCCTGGCGGTGGCCACAGACAACTTTATCAGTACTTGTTCCTCAGCCTCCCAGCCCTGGTCCCCTAGATCAGGACCTCCCCTCAACAACAACCCCCCAGCTGTGGTGGTGAACTCCCCACAAGGCTGGGCAGGGGAGCCCTGGAACCGGGCTCAGCATAGCTTGCCCCGGGCAGCAGCCCTGGAGAGGACAGAACCCTCGCCACCCCCTTCAGCTCCCCGGGAGCCGGAGGAGGGGCTGCCCTGTCCCGGCTGCTGCCTTGGCCCCTTCAGCTTTGGTTTCCTGTCCATGTGCCCCCGCCCCACCCCAGCTGTCGCCCGCTACCGCAATCTGAACTGTGAGGCGGGCAGTCTCCTCTGCCACCGAGGGCACCACGCCAAGCCACCCACGCCCAGCCTGCAGCTGCCTGGGGCACGCTCTTAGCAGTGGGGCCTGTGATCTCAGGCCTCCAACTTTGGCCTTCAGGACACCCTGTAAGGACAGAGCACACTTGCTGGACAATGCCAGCCCCAGATGGGCTGACTGGCTCTTCTCCCCGTAGGGGAGCCTCAGCATGGACTCTCAAGGGACAGAGCACTTCCTATCCAACCCCTGGGCTCACTCTCCCAAGGGGATCACTGAATCAGACACAGCATTGCTGATACACGAGACTAACACGTGCAAATTATTTAAAAATATTTCAATAAAAACTGCCTGGCTGGCTCCGGGCCGCCCCATCCACTCAGCCCTTGCGCCCTGCTCCCCCCACCCATTTCCAGTATGGGAGGTTCTTGAGGGGGGTCAAAGTCCCTTCTAGAGGCTTCTTTATCCTCTTCCCAGGATCAGTCCAGTTTCTGGGACAGGTTTTCAAGCAGGCTGGCTAGAAGTTTCAGGTGTGGATCAGCCCTTGGTTGGCAATGCCCACACTTGGGGGATGCCTGGAGATGACAATCTTGGGATGTGCAGGCCACAGGTTAGGGATCAGAGTCACAAGCTCTTGTTAGCATGAGTGTCTGGAAGGGTAAAGCATCAGTGAGCTCCACAGTGGACTGTCACTAAACCTTCATCCAGCTTTTGTTATCTTTTCCCCAGCTCCCTGGACAGCCACAGCACCAGACTTTCTGTCCAACCTACCCTTACATAAGCAGACCAAGTCATCAGAGGCTGAGGATGTGACTATCAAACCCAGGAACAAGTTTCTCCTCTGTCCCTGGACTCCCATGCCTCAGCCCCATCTCTCATGCTTACCCCATTCATTGCAAAGAATGGTCCCCGTCTGGAAACCTAAAAGATGACCGCTCACAGATGAAGGGAAGGGAACTTGTACATGTCTCTGACAGACTCCACCACCCTGATGGTATTTTTTCCATCTTCATGCATCCTGAGCTTAAGGATAAGACGTAGAATGATTAGAAGTAGGAAATGCTCTGGACTCCTTCTTATCCATCCTACCTTCTCTCATCTTGCTGTGCATAAAACTTAGCCTATATCCATATCTGGGCATGGTTCAGAGGCAGATTTCTAGACTCCAGCTAGAAAAAGCTTTAAGTCCAGGGCAGAAAAATATTATCCCAGACCTTAAAGATGAAAACTCCAGATAGGGAACATGAGAATGTGGCCAGAGTCCTTAGGTGTGATTCTCAAAGTTACTCCACTGCTCCCTTGTTCACCCCTGGGATGGCTCTTATGCCCCAAGTGGCCTGGACTGAGAAAGTGCAACCCCAGTTTGGGCAGCCTTGTCAAGGGGTGGGGAGTCAGAATGCAGGTGTCCCTTTGGCTGTGAAGCCCAAGCTAAATTCTCAGCTTCTCCCTCTGAAAGATGACATGGATCCCAACCTAGTAATTTTTTTTTAATTATTCCAGGGACTTCTAGATACCAAAGATAGAACAGAGAATAAGACTACTCTAAAGTTATTAATCAAATAGGGGGAATTAAAAAATAGGCAGTTACACTATTGATTTATAGAAGAAATTTGGGAGCTGGAGTTGGGGAAAAAATTTTTTTACTATGTCTTTATGAGGGGATTATGGAGTTCAAAATGCCAAAAAGTCCTCACAAACTTACCTATAATAATGTAAACCAGAAGTCCTCCATTGTTCCTTTTTAGAGGTGGGGCTAATCCAATATGAATCTGAACCACCATGTGAAAATATAGGTTCTCTGCTGGACTGATACAATGAGATTCAGAGGAAACAGAGATGTGTGGATAGTGATGAGAAATATAAGAGAAAATAAACACTCTAGGAAAAGACCTATGAACTTTGGCAAAGGGGATGTGCCCATCTTTGGTATGTGATAGCTCATGTCTTGTACATGACTTGTTCCTGCATCCTTCAAGTGCCACCCTGCAGAAACAGTCTCACTCTTTACTTCACCTCCCAACATGGTAAGAATTTCTGCTATCCTTTGGAGAGGACTTGCTATGTTAGGACTGTTCTGGTCCCAAGGAACCAGTTACTATGATCCAACCCACCAAATCTGGCACCTCACAGTCAAAGAGCTGTTAAGCAGCCCATAGGGCTGACCAGGAAGATGAGACAATAAGTAGAGATTATAAGTTTCAGCTCTCATGCCAACTCTAATCAGAAGCCATCTGGAACACAGGACTGAGAAGACACAGGCCATTTTCAAGTTTAGTGGCAAAGAGTATTGTGATTATCACTATTTGCCATGGAAAAGGAATGTAAGTCATGGCATGTATGCCAGGTGTGCACTGCCATTCCTGATTCAATGACATACCTCCCTTCATCTAACAGTGCCCCTTCGTTCTGTGGGTAAGGGTATGCTTACTGAGTAATAACTTTCACTGAATGTGGCCAGGTTGGAGGTCAGAGATTTACAATAAGTTTGGCTCTTCGTCCAAGACTGCTGAATAGATGAAAAGTAAAAGCAGCGATTCTCCTTCAGTATCCATCCCACTGGACAGCAGTGGCCTATAAAGCAGAGAGACTGCAACATTACAACCCCTAGAATGAACGTGACTACTCACAATCTGGTTGCTAGCAACATTCCCCTAGGTCTAATCTCGGCAACTTCATGGACTTCTTGTCCTTGATCTTTGCAATCTTCCTTTCTTTTTCCTATACTGGAAATGCCTTACCACCATATAATCATTTTCTGTTTTGTTTTATTTTGTTTTTAAGTGTCTTTAACATTTAATAACATTTCTCCTCTTCCTCCTCCCCCTCCTCCTCCTCCTCCTTCTTCATTTTTGGTAATGGGGATTGAACCCAGGGGTGCTTAACCACTGAGCTACCTCCCCCATCCTTTTTTGAAACAGGGTTTCCCTAAATTGCTTAGGGCCTCTCTAAATTGCTGAGGCTGACCTCAAACTTGTGATCCTCCTGCCTCAACATATGGAGTTGCTGGGAATACAGGCGTGTGACCACACCCGCTAACAACATTTCTTCTTAACAATCTGGGAGGTTTAAGTGAACTGGTTATTATCCCCAATTTCTGAAAGACTACAGTCTACACCAACAGTTTGGTTAACCTCACCTAGTCCCCTGTATTTGGTCAATAGGTCTCTCATTTGTTCCTTCATCCCATTTGCTCCCTAAAGCATTCTCTGCTGTCCATCGAAACTTCATCACACTCTTCCAGCCACCAGCTGCCTCCTCTCCCTATGTTTCCATAAGGAGACAATTTTGGTTCCCATTTTGCTTAGTTTCTGTTTTGTAATTACTCTCCACTTCCCTCCTTCCCACTTCAAAATTTCTATCTCTGTTCTTCTTTACCTGATTATGCATAAGAAATAGACATCCCTCTTTAACATCCTATGTCCCAATCTGTGCTCCTGAGCACAACCTAACTCTCTCCAGTACTTTGATTCATCAGTCCTAACTCCATCACTTAAAAATCAGCTGGGTATGGGGGCTGGGGTTGTGGCTCAGTGGTGAAGCACTTGCCTAGCATATGTGAGGCATTGAGTTCGATCCTCAGCACCACATAAAATAAATAAATAAATAATGTATTGTGTCCATCTACAACTAAAAAAAAATGTTTAAAAATCAGCTGGGGGCTGGGGATGTGGCTCAAGCGGTAATGCGCTCACCTGGCATGCGCCAGGCGCTGGGTTCGATCCTCAGCACCATATAAAATAAAATAAAGATGTTGTGTCTGCCGAAAACTGAAAAATAAATATTAAAAAATTCTCTCTCTCTCTCTTTAAAAAAAAAATCAGCTGGGTGTGGTGGATTACCTCTGTAATCCTAGCTACTAGGGAGGCTGAAGCAGGAGGATCTCAAGTTTGAGGCCAGCCTCAGCAACTCAGAAAGACCCTCAGCAACTTAGCAAGACCTTGTCTCAAAATAAAATTTTTTTATAAAAAGGGCTGGGATTCAATCCTCAGCCCAGATGTTGGAGGGGTGGATAGGCAAAAATGCAAATAGAGCTGGGCCTGATGACACACACATTTAATCCCAGCTACTCTGGAGGTGGAAGAAGGAGGATAGCCAGTTGGAGGCCAACCTGGGCAACTTAGTAAGACCCTGTCTCAAAATAAAATTTTAGTAAAGTTCTGGGGATACAGCTCAGTGCTTACCTGGCATTTGCGGGGCCGTGTGTGCCATGTGTTCCATGTCTGGTACAACAATAAAAAATAAAAAAAAAGAGAGAGAAAAAAAAAAGTGAGTTTTGTTTTTGTGGTACTAGGGATCAAACCCAGACCCTCATACATACTAGGTAAATGCTCTATCATCAAGCTACATCCCCAACCTGAAAGTAAGAGTTTTTACCAGTCCAGTGCAAGAGATAGACAATGGAACAAAGGGATGAGTTATTGAATAATTGGACTCCAAAACACAACATGAGTAGGGAGAGAAATGAGGAAATAGCTGATGGGAAGAAAGGAAACAGGAGTCCCCAGAGTGGAGGAGGCCTCAGTGAGGTGAAAGAAGAAGCCTGGGCAGTTGTGATCAGAGTGGAAGTCTGCAACCGACCTTTCAGTAGAGGAGCAATATGGGTTGCAGCTATAGGAATGAATGGCAGCACTTCAAGGGACTAAGGGTCCATAGTAGATTAAAAAAATAAAATAAAAAGTTAAGAAAATAAGGGCTGGGATGGGTGATTACATGTAATCTTGCTGTTTTAAACCTGGAGAAAGCATCTAGATGTCCTCTGTGCAAGATAGAACCCAACCCCCACCATAGTCCATGAAAATTCCAGTCCCCTCAGGCCTGGCACCCTGCCTAGAACCTCAGCCTGCTTCTACACAGCCTTTCCTTTATTAGGTGTCCCTTAACCCACCCCTACCTACTGGCTGGGCTCTTGATTTGAAAACGGATGGATATGCCATCCTGGTCTCCTAAACCTTAACTCTACCCATTTACCTCATGATGGGTGCCACATGTGCCTGAGAACTTAAGCTGTCTTGTCCCACCTCTCGACTGTACCTAGTGTTAGTAATTCTTAACTTTTAGGGGGATTTCAGATGTATTGAAAATTAATTAAAGCTGCCACCAAGTCTTTGGGAAAATGTGCAAACAACCAATTCCACATACAAATTCAAGGGGTTCCTAGATCCTTGCTGCTGGCTGCCACCCACCCCTCACCAGGATCTGCCTTAGAGTTAGCCTTAGAGCCCTAAATCCAGTATGCTGCTTGATCCTTCTCCCCATTGGCCAAGGTTACATAGCTCAGGCAGCCACTCTCCTGCTTCATTGCCCCTTTTCTGAACCATCCCTGGGAGCTAGATAGAGCCCTGGCACAGTGTTTCCTTGCTTCAATCCATTCTTCACAGACCACCTCTGCCACCTCCCTTCTCCCAGAGTAGATACCTTGTGGGGAGCATTTAAAGAAGGGTTTCAGTGTGTTCTGCATGTTGTTTAGCCTCTGCTCCAAGGCCCTCCTCTGATCCTCCTCCCTTTGCAAAGTCTCCTGGGTCTTCTCCTTGTCCAACTGGCAGTCCTTTAGCTTCCCCTCAGCAGCCTGGTGATTATTCTGCGCCACCTGTAGCACTTCCTGACTCTGGGCCAGCTTTCTCTTGGACTCTTGCAGATTCTCTTCCTTCTGCCCCAGCTGAGTTATCCTTAGGTGAAGCTGCTCCTGAAGGCTGCTATTAGTGTCTTCCAGAACACGGCTCACCTGCTGGAGTTTCTGAGATACCTGCAGGTCTGATTGGCCATAAAGAGAGATTTGGAGGGCATCTACTCCAGCCGGATCCTAATGTCTTGAGACTACAGCATCATTTTAATGAAACTTTTTGCATAACAGGCTAAAATATAAGACCTGACTGCCTAAAGCTTAAAGAGGTACTGGATTAGGTAAGGACTGATGGGGAAGACAGGGCACTGTAAAATAGACCCAGCAGGAAACCAGACCAAAAGCTGAGGATGTGGTGGTAGTGACTATGAACTCTTCTGTGAAGGGCACTATGGGGGAGAGGAGAGAAGTAGTTTGAAGTGAGTGGGAAATGGGGCAGCCATACTCACAGCGGGCTCCCAGGCAGATGGCAGCCACCCCTAACAGCAGGCAGGTGAGGAGCAAGCTGAACAGGAGGTATCGCAAGCAAGCTGGACTACCTTAAAGGACAGGGATGAAGGGCAGTCAGTCCCAGGAAACAATTTACAGACTGAGGGCATGGGCAGCAGCAGAGATTCCAGAGGAGGACATTCTTAAGAGGAGGGCAAAGGAGCAGTATGGTGGGGTTTTCCCGATGGTGGGAGGTTGTGCAGGTAGAGGGGAGAGGGAGTTCTAGAATGTGGGTTGGGGATTTGTAATTGGTAAACTGAGTTGAGGCGTATTGCCTGTTAAAGGGGAACTAAATCTCAATAGAAAGAGGGAAAGGGGATGACAGGATTTGTATATTGGGACCAAATGAATGGTGGGTAGTGATCTGGATGGACCCGTCTTGGAATAATCCCTACCGGGATGTGGCTTAGGGGGCAGGAAGCGGGGTCGCGGTGCTGAGCTGTCTCAAGGCTGCACCCTGGGCTCATCCCCAGAAAGAACCGAACAGGATGGGGATCAGCGCTCAACCCCCTGCTCCCGCGCCTCAGTCCCACCCGTTGGCAAGTCAGGGTCGCCACCCTCCAAAGCACGCAGGAGGGGAGCACGCCTGGGGCTGGAAGGGGACAATACCCACAGGGGAGAAGCCTTCCAACAGGCTGTGACGTCACGGAGCTCCAGGTCGCAGTTAGCTGCTCTGACTTAAACCCTGCGGAAGAGCAACGTCCAGTGTGAAAGCCCCAGATCACGCCCCTTCTCCGCAGCTCGCCCCACACCGGGACTCCGGGCTGCCCTGAGACACCCTCTGTCACTGCTCCGGGACACCCGCATCACTCCCGGAGTCCCTCTGCTCGCCCCCCCCCCCCCGCCCGCGACTCTCTCAGCTACCTCCGGGTCTCGGTTTATCCCCAACCCACCCCCACTCCCTCCCAGTCTCCCTTTATCCCTTTATTGTTACCTCAGGGGCCCTTATCTGCCTGCCCACAACCACCACCCCGCATTGCTCTCCTCCCTCTCCCTCCTCCGGCTCCCCATTTCCCTCCAGAACCCATCTTCCACAGGGCTGCCCTGAGTCTTCCTCCAGCACTTATCAGCCACCCTCTCCCCCTCCTCCCCCCACACACTTGTCCCACTGGGATCTCCACCTTGCCCCTGAGACTTTTCTTCCCTAGTTCCCATTTATCCTACTCTCTTCTAAGAACCACCCTCCTCATTTCTCCAAGGCCTTGTCCTCCCAAGATTTCTGTGGACTCCCCAGCTCAAGAGAACCCCGTAAACCCATCCCCAGGGCTCTCCATACCTGATTTGTCCCCTAGTCCAGAGGAGGCCAAGCCGGAGGGCCCCCCTGGGACTGAGGGCACTTGGACATTTTCATAGGTGAGTTCCCCATCCTCATAGGCCTCTGGGTCTGGGGAGAAAAAGAACCAAAGTGGAAGTCAGGTGTGGTCTGTGGGATGAGGGTGGGTTGTGAAAGGGGATAGACAGGATGGAGGAGTCCCATGTTCCCCCTTACCCTCTCCTAACTGGCTGGAGACAATCTTTTTCAGAGGTGCCTTCACGAACCGCAGGTCTGCATAGGTAATAGCGTCAGCCATGGTCCTGAGCACCTCTGCAGGCTGGAGTCTCCCCTCTCATCCACAGGACCCAAGCCTCCCTGGCCACTCTCCTCTCTCCACACTCTTAGATTCTGTGATCTCTGTGATTGCACTTCTTAGCTCTTTGCCCTCCCACTTAACAAAAGAGGAAGATGTGAATGAGCCTCTGACAGATGGGCTCAATGAAGCAGAAGTCATCTTGGGTCAGAGCCAAAAGGGCAGGAGGGAAACACTCAGGTCCAGAGCACAGGCCAGGGGCTAGGCCTGGCCCTGGGTCAGCCCTATGTCCCCCCCACTCTTCATGTATCCTACTGGGGCTCCACACTGCTGGGCTCCAGTTATCTTCTCTGATTTGCCCTCTCCTCCTGACTGCCCTCTACTGGGGCTTGTTGATGTGTGGTTGGAGCTCTTTTGTGCCCAACTGACACCATTGTTCCAGAAGGAGGTTTCATCTTCCCCATCAGATTGTGTCTCGTAGCATGGAGCCTTAGCTCTTTGTTATTCTGAGGTTTCCAGTAGGTCTATGAGTGAGTCCCTGATTTGGTGACTCAAATGAGTGTCATATCCCCATCAACTTGGGGGCTTTCAGGCTGTACCCATCTTCTCTCTTGTGTAACCCTCAGAACTGCCACACAGAGCCATAGCTGGGACACCTCTGGGGAAATCTGTGGTAGCACTGATCTTCATTCACCCTGTGAGGGCCAGGAAACCAATGAGCCTGGAGTTTCACAAAGATCAAGCTACAGCTTCCTAGACCCACAAATAAGGCAAAGAAATTTCTTCTAACTTTTTTTGTAAAGTTTTTATTATTTATTTATTTTTGGTACTGGGGATTTGAACCCAAGGGCACTTTACAACTGTGCTACATCCCCAGCCTTTTTTATTTTTTATTTTGAAAAGGGGTCTCACTAAGTTACTCAGGACCTCGATAAGTTGCCCAGGCTGGCCTTGAACTTGTGATCCTCCTGCCTTAGCCTCCTGAGTTGCTGGGATTACAGGCATGTGCCACCATGCCCAGTAAAATTCTTCTTTTAAAATGTCTCAGGGAAGTAGGGGAGGGGGGATAGTAGAGGATAGAAAAGGCAGCAGAACACATCAGAAACTAGTATGGCAATATGTAAAACAGTGGATGTGTAACCGATGTGATTCTGCAATCTGTTTACGGGGTAAAAATGGGAGTTCATAACCCACTTGAATCAAATGTATGAAATATGATATGTCAAGAACTATGTAATGTTTTGAACAACCAATAATAAAAAATTAAAAAAAAACAGAATAAAAAAGGTCTCAAGGAAGTGATGGCACATGCCTATAAGCAGGAGGATCACAAGTTCAAGGCCAGCCTGGGCAACTTATGGAGTCCTTGACTCAAAAGATAAAAGGGCTGGTGATATGACTCAGTGGTAAAACATCCTGGTTTAAATCCATAATATTAAAAAAATTCAAAAGAGATATAACTCAGTGGTAGCATGCCCAGGTTCAATCCCCAGTATTGCAATTAATTAATTAATTAATTAATTTAAATGAAAGGTATTGAGGGCTGGGGTTGTAGCTCAGTGATAGGGCAGAATGTGACACTCTGCGTCGAAACCCCAACATTAAAAAAAATAACCTCCCAACTTTGTCCCTTTATACCCATCCCCAAGGAAAAGGGGCATTTGTGTATAGGAGAGACCCCCAGAAATTGGGATGCCCTCCAAGGTGGTGAGGACCTGGCTGATGGAGCAGAGAGGGAAACCAGGGGAGCAGAGAAGGAGTTGCTGAGCAGCAGTGCTCAAGGGTGCTCCCTAATGTTTTTTTACCAGGATTTGACTCTGACAGGAATGCCAAAAGGGCCTGCCTCAGCGGGGTGGGAAACAGCTGAGACCAGATACCATATGGAGTAGGGAAAAACCCAGTCCCTTTCAGAGCACATCCGCCCCCTCAGAAACCCCTCCTGCAGCTGTGGGGAGGAAAAGGAAGGTCCTCACCACATGCTAATAGCTCTATGACTGGTGGTGTGTGTCAGGCTCTGTGATGGGCTGCAGACCACACGGTGCACAGCAGCACTGTCCAGCCTGCCCCAGAGAGGGTGGCCACTGAGGCAGAATGGCACACCTGGCACCTGAGGATGTGTCTGAGGAGAGGTGGATGTATGTGTGTGCGTGTGTGTACTTGTGTATGCACACACATCCCCAGCACTTTGTGATCTGTTAGGGGTGTCATGGGAGGTGAGTGTCTATGTCGCAGCCCACTCGGAGGATAAATGGATCCTGTGGCCCAAGGGGTGCCTGTGAAAGCTGTTACCTTTTGCCACCACAGGGAAAGATGGGCCATTTTCAGAAAAATCATTATGGGTCATGGCAACAGATTCTACAAGTATTTCCTTTTTGAGGTTCACTGTTTCCTAAGGTGTCCCTGCAGCTGTTAACGGTCCTTGCTTGATTAAAGTTTCCAACAGCCCAGTCCCCTCCCCTGGGCACCCTGGCATGGCCTCCCCCAGATACAGACAGTGGCGTGTGCTGGTGACTCCCTGGGGGCCTCCAGGGGCCTGTGATAGTGGGAAGCTACAGAGCAGCTGGTGCCAGGGTGGGTGGGGACAGTCAGGGCACTGCCTCTATGGGGTACAGGGGTGATGATAGGCAACATGTGAGTAAATTCTATTTATAGGAATTCCATAAACTGTAGAAAATGTCCTAGTTTTCAGAACCACTGCACAGGTGAACATGACCTGGATGCCAGGTAAAATGACAAAGTCAAGCTTCCAGTATGCACTCAAAAAAGAGAATGGGCATGCAGTCTAACATGACCCTTGAAGAGGCTTAAAAAGGGGTTACCCAAGTGGAGCTGGGCTGGGCTAAGCTGTCCATCCACATCTCCACATCTTCATCAGACTTGGTCTGTACATTTCTCCTCCGAAGCTGTTTTGGTGACAGTTACATATTTCAAGACATTCTGCATTCCATTCCTTCTTATAGTACTTTGTGGTCCTTTTGAGTGAATAGGGTAAAAGAAGGGAATTCTTGCCCTTCTCTAGGTATGTCACATAGGCCTTTGCAATACTCACATTCACATTACCTTTCTAGGCTGGACATCAGACATGATGCCTGTGACTTGGAGGTGCACCCCTACTGTCCAAGTTTCAGTAACAGTGTTTTTTTTTTTTTATTCTGTTTTCAGTTGTAGATGAACACAATACGTTTATTTTGTTTAATTATTTTTACGTGGTGCTGAGGGTCAAACCTAGTGCCTCACACATGCTAGGCAAGTGCTCTACCACTGAGCCAAAACCCCAGCCCCGACAGTGAGTTTTTTTTTTTTTTTTTTTTAAGAGCCGAGGGGTCAGTGTTGTGTGTTTCAACCTTTCCAGGACCATAATGTCATCATCTGAGATCTGGGAGAACCAACACCAAAGTCTACTTCTTGCTGTCTCTTGGTTGTTCCACTGCTTATTGTGGGAAACAGGTTGTGAAGGTCTATAAGGGGAGGGGGCCCAACTGTGAGGGCATGGGGTGGGATGGCATGGGGAAGGGCTCCTCTCTGTCAACTTTGATAAAATCTAGTCAACATCAGGAAGTCAGGAAATTCTCCTAAGACTCTGAAAGTCAGGTTATACTTCATCTTTACTGTAACTCACTGGCTTCTAGAAAACCCGAGTCAGGTGACAGGGTAGACAGAATAATGACCTCCCTAAAACATTCACACTCTAAACCTTGGAACTGGAAAATACATTACTTTACCTGATAAAATGTAGATGTGACTTATGTGAAGGTCTGTTAAATGGGAGGTCATCCTGTTTAATTCTAGCAGGCCCAGTCTAATCACATAGTTTCTTTTTTTAAAAAAAAATTATTTTTAGATGTTGATGGATCTTTATTTTATTCATTTATTTATATGTGGTGCTGAGAATTGAACCCAGTGCCTCACACATGCTAGGCAAGCACTCTACCACAACCCCCACCCTCACATAGGTTCTTAAAAGGGAGAACCTTTAAATGAGAAATTATACCCCAATGATTCAAAAGTATGAATCGCCAAGATCATTGTAATGTCGTGTGTAGCTATTAAAAAATAAATAAATTTAAAAAAAAAAAAGGGAGAACCTTTCCCAGCCATGGGAAGAGAGATTCAAGGAGGGAAGATTCAAGGATCACAGAAGTACAACATGAAGACTCAAGCCACAGTTGCTGGCTTTGAAAGTGGAGAAAAGGGATCATTAGCCAAGGAGTCCAGGCAACCTCTAGAAGATGGAAAAGCAAATAAACAGAAAGGAACCCAGCCCTGCTGTCACCTTAATTTTAGTTGTAGACCTGCATCAGACTTCTAACCTGTAAGATAATAAATTTTTAATGGTTTAAGCCATGAAGTTTGTAGTGCCAAAATTGAACAAACATGATTCTATGGTTGAAATGGCCAGTCCTACCACAGGTGTGGCCATTTCCCGTCTCTAAAATGCAAGATGTCCAGACCTCAATCAAGAATATGACTGCAGCTGGGTGCGGTGGTGCATGCCTGTAGTCTCAGCAACTCAGGAGGATCAAGAGTTCAAAGCCAGCTTCAGCAAAGGCAAGGTGTTCAACAACTCAGTGAGACCCTGTCTCTAAATAAAATACAAAATAGGGCTGGAGATGCAGCTCAGAGGTTGAGTTCCCCTGAGTTCAATCCTTGATCCCCCACCCCCAGCCTCAAAAAAAAAAGGGGGGGGGGGTATGATTGCTAGAGACAGGAGATGTAACCTTGAGCAAAGTCCTCTTTTAAAACATCAGCCACAATAGCTTCAGAATCAGGAAGGAGAACTACAGGCCATCTGATAGTACCATCAAGGGGACTTGTGATTCTTTGATCCCTGCAACTTAAGAGCACTGGGAGGGCTCTGGTGACTTGCCCCAGGCCTCTCCTTAGTCCTGTCTTGAATAGTGACACAGATAATAATCTTATATACTGATGGCACAGAGCTGAGAAGAAAAGCAAATACCTTGCTTCAAAAGGCAAACTCAAGATTCAAGCATTGCCACAGGCAAAACGATGGCTCCTATCTGCAGAATGAAGTGTCATAAAGGAAAGGACAATATGGGGCACAGTGGTGCACTCCTATGATCCCAGCTACTGGGAAGGCTGAGGCAGGAAGGTGGCAAGTTTAAGAC